GTGCTTTATGTGTGTCCCAGAGATTCGTTGTATCTTTGTGCTCATTGGTTTCAAAGAACATCTTTATTTCTGCTTTCATTTTGTGATTTACTTAGTAGTCATTCAGGAGCAGGTTGTTCAGTTTCTATATAGTTGTGTGGTTTTGAGTGAGTTTCTTAATCCTGAGTTCTAATTTGATTGCACTGTGGTCTGAGAGACTGTTATGATTTCCATTCTTTTGCATTTGCTGAGGAGTGTTTTACTTCCACTTATGTGGTCAATTTTAGAATAAGTGAAATGTGGTGCTGAGAAGAATGTATATTCTGTTGATTTGGAGTGGAGAGTTCTGTAGATGTTTATTAGGTCTCTTTGGTCCAGAGCTGAATTCATGTCCTGGATATCCTTGTCAATTTTTTGTCTTGTTGATCTGTCTAATATTGACAGTGGGGTGTTAAAGTTTCTCACTATTAATTATTGTGTGGTAGTCTAAGTCTCTTTGTTGGTCTCTAAGGACATGCTTTATGAATCTGGGTGCTCCTGTATTGGGTGTATATATATTTAGGATCATTAGATCTTCTTGTTTCTTTGATCCCTTTACAATTATGTAATGACCTTCTTTGTCTCTTTTGATCTTTGTTGGTTTAAAGTCTGTTTTATCAGAGACTAGGATTGCAACGTCTGCTTTTTTATTTGACTCTCCCATTGCAGTTTATTTTAAATACCTTATTCTGTGATCACTTAATGTGGTATTTTATAGCCATATTCACGTCTTACTTTCCCTGCTAAATACATCCTACTCAAATATAAAATATTGAATTTTTAGTAATTTCTACCACATTTAACCCTGCACATGCACCTACTTCAATAAATGAATACATTCTAAAACAAATGAATGGCTGCATTTATCAACAGTGTTCAAAGTTAAAAAGCATGATTACAGCTTGTGTTTATTGATATCAATTGTCGAAATATATTACCCCATAGTTACTTCTGTGTTAAGTGATAGGAAAGCAAAGAGAAAGATGTGAAAGCAAGAAGTGCATAAAACTAAGCAAACAACAACAAAAACCCAAGACAATACATTTTTGGGGTATGGATGATTTCTTCCTGTGTTATACTTGGGGTTCTCTTCTCCCCAGGGAATGCAAGATGATTCCTTTTATTGACTGAGTGGAAGATTGAGTCTCTTTTCCTTACAACTTTTCAGGAGCTAGTATGTGTGCAGAGGAAAGGCATCCTCAAGCTTTGAAAATGCCGAAAGTATTATAGGGGCAAGCTTTGAGACTGTGGGGTGAGACTGTGGGGTGAGACTGCGGGGTTTAAGTCTACAGGTTTGGCGTTAAGTTCACCTTGAAGAAATATTAAAAGCTGGTGTTTCGGATAAGAAACCTTGAGACATACATAGTTAAGGAGGGAGATATGAAAATCTAATGGAGATGTGGAGAAGAGGGGCTCACGTGGGATTGATCAGATGACTGTAAGAGTAAGTAAGGCTTGCAGGTGACATCTTAGAATCAAGCATGAACTATGGAGGCCTCATCAATGGAGTAAACCTTGAAGTACTCAAGCCTTACGACCAGTAGCTTGCTTCAGCATAGCCATAATGGTGTTCTCCGGCTCTCCTATCCAGTTAGGGGCTGCTTTAGATGGTATTTGGCTATATTACAATGCTTACAATTCCATACGTTTCTGAGATCCAAACCATAGCTCCAACCATATAAAAGAGTCATTTTTTATAATGGATAAATTCATTCATATGAAGTCCTCAGAAAAAGAAAATGATATTGTCTTGGCTTGCCATAGAGGTGTAAGTCATAAGATTAAACGGGCTGTTATATATTGATTCTTTTCAACATAGCATTCCTGCACCTACCTAGATTTGTGCAGCATGGATGAACTTCATCATATCTTTTTCTGTTCTGCCAGGGCACTGAGGCTGTTCACTTTCCAACTTCTAAAATTGATATTGCTCTTCAATATTGTCTTATAAACCACATAATCCATTGGTTCTGGAACTCTTCCCTGAACTCAAAATCACACCCCTGAGCTCTTAAGTCACAGTCCAGTGTCTTTCCTCTACCAAGAATTCATTTATCCTTCTGTCACCTGTTGAAATCTGGCCCAGGACTCACAAAGGGTATCTTAATTTTCAAAACAAAAAATTGTTTTCGGCCAGGTGCGGTGACTCACGCCTGTAATTCCAGCACGTTGGGAGGCCAAGGCGGGAAGATCACGAGGTCAGGAGTTCGAGACCAGCCCGACCAACATGGCGACACCTTGTCTCTACTAAAAGTACAAAAATTAGCCAGGCATGGTGGCAGGTGCCTGTAATCCCAGCTACTAGGGAGGCTGAGGCAGGAGAATCGCTTGAACCCAGGAGGTGGAGGTTGCAGTGAGCCGAGATCATGCCACTGCACTCCAGCCTGGGTGACAGCAGTGAGACTCCGTCTCAAAAAAAAATGCTTTATTATTTTTCTGTGATCTTGTGGTATATATGCTGTTATTATATTACATATGCCATTATACCACTTACAATATTCTCCATACAATTACAATTTATGTTGGTTTCCAGACTGAGTCTGAAATACTTTACAATACAATGTCTGAAATGACTGTGAATTTTCAACAGTGCAGAATTTTACATACCATTTCATTCTTCTACATTTCATCCATAATTTTAGATACCTCAATACCATGACTGATACTAAGTAGTTTAAAAACTATCTAAGGATAAGGACATTATATCCCTCTATATTGTTTATTATATCCCTCTATATTGTTTAGTAAATGATATTTCTTCATAGGAAAAAGACATGCTGTTTTAAGCGCTGTGCCTTTCTGTACTTTTATTTTGTTACTATAAAAAAAATCCACAGATGAAAACCTATGGCTATGATATATTTACAGTATAATACTCTTTTGACAATGAAGTTATAATATATAATTGAATCAAAGGACTCTGCTGATACAGTGAATAAAAGAACATATGTAAATAATTCTTATATGGTCCAAAGTAGATATTAATAATAATATTATGAGCAATTTGAATGAAACAGTTACCATTATCAAAGCAACTCTTTTTTTTTTTTTTTTTTTTTTTGAGGCAGAGTCTCACTCTGTCGCCCAGGCTGGAGTGCAGTGGCGCGATCTCGGCTCACTGCAAGCTTCGCCTCCCGGGTTCATGCCATTCTCCTGCCTCAGCCTCCCGAGTAGCTGGGACTACAGGCGCCTGCCACCTCGCCCGGCTAGTTTTTTGTATTTTTTTTTTTAGTAGAGACGGGATTTCACCGTGTTAGCCAGGATGGTCTGGATCTCCTGACCTCATGATCCGCCCGTCTCGGCCTCCCAAAGTGCTGGATTACAGGCTTGAGCCACCGCACCCAGCCCAAAGCAACTCTTTAAAAAGAATGCAAGATGTTGAAGAAAGACTTCCATCCTGCTGTGTTAGAAAAGGATTGTGGTCTACAACTGTAGTGGAAAGAAATCCTGACAGAATATATTAATATATTTTCAAAATATTATACATTAGATTGCTAGATCATTTATATTGTAATATCTGCTAAGACTCTAATATGGTCCTACCAGTAAATCTACTTTTAAAAAGGAAGCAAAATGTATAGTTAAAATTCATCTTGAATTAATAACTGAGATAATGGTATAAAGATAAAAAAAAGGAATATTCCTTCTGCCTGTATAAAATTATGACCTCATCGTTATAGCTGAAGAGGACTGAAATACTCCAGAACATGTCTTTCAACTTCTCCTTTCATTCTTTTTCTTCTCATAATTTAACCTTTGTGGACTCATAATTATATAAATAACACAAGAGGAAAATAAAATGTATTTTCTACTTAAAATGTATTTTCTACTTAAAATGTATTTTCTACTAAGGGAATGTATCGGTGGGAAAAGCAATACAACAGATTTAGACCGTCAAGAACGTTCAAAATTGTAGTAAAAATATACAGACTAGCATATGAATCATGTATGAGCATTAAAAATAACTAAGGTAGAATTAAAAATGAACAGGCATGAAAGTATTTGCCAAGATGTCCAGATTTAAAAAAAAAGATGAGAATGCTAGAAATTAAAAACATAATCACTAAAGCTCAATGTATGGATAAAATAAGAGATTAGATACTGGGGAGAACCCTGAAAATACAGACCTGAAAAAGAAACAGAAACTGGAAAGGAGAGGGTAAGAGATGTGGGAGGTGTGAAAATGCAAAGTTATGTCTTCAGAGTTTCAGAAAAAGATCATAGAAAATTGAGGAGTGGTTATCTGAAGAAATAATGCAAATTTCCAGAACTGATTGTGATTCTGCAGATACAGCAATTACGGTAAATAAAATGCATGTATACTTATGACTTTATAGTGGAAGTATAGTGGAAGAGTAGAACACCAAAGACAAAGTATTATTTAAAGCAGACAGCAAGAGAAAAAAATAACGTCTACAGGAGTAGCAACAAGATTTAAAGGAAATGCTTGGGGAATAAAGGTAATATAAAATAAAAATATTAATGTGTACATCCTCATCCAGGAAATTTATTCAACCTAAATTGATGAAATGATAATTTATAAACAGTAAAACTTTTGTTTTCCTTTTAGATAAATAAGGTACTCTATGTAAACAAACAACCAAAGTGCTTTCTGGAAGAACTTTCTGAGTAACAAGATATCACAAGCATTTAAAAGGGACGGTCGTTGTTCTTGACATTATCTTGTATTTTCAAAATGGGCAGATAAGTATAATTAATATCAAGTATTTAGATGTCCCATTTATAATTGACTTGTGACGGAATATCTTTCAGTAGAAAATAAATGGAGTTGTAACTTAGTAACATTGTTACCAAATTTCATATTCAAGAAATATTAAATTCATATCCAAGAAGTATATATTGTATAATTTAAACTTTTGCACAAAGCACTTCTTTATGCTTCCCCTGGAACCATATATGTATAATTTGATGCCATGTACCCTCAGCAGTAAAGGGCCAGGGTCGACCTTTCTGGGACTCACCTCCCCTTCTGTAGATTGCAAATGGAGCTCCTTCCTGCAGGTGGCCTTGAAGTCTCCTGCAGCAGCACTCACCTGGACCCCACGAGGAGCTTCCATGATCAAGGATCTGGTGGGTGATTCAAGCCTAAGGGAAAAACAAAGATAAAAATCATTCATAGAAAAAAGAAAATTTTTGGTAAACTAGAAGACAACATTAGTCAACTTAAAACAACAACCAGAAAAACATACAGACCAGACAGGAATAAAGGAAGTTAGGCAAAGCCAAAATGAGTTTTAGAACAATTTTTGATTGACTTATCTATTTTTGGCTCTTTATAAAAATCTACATTTATTCACATCAAGTATTGACTCTCACCAATTTGCTTATGGTTTCTTTTGCTGTTTGAAAAGTAGGGTGTGATAAGTATACTTGCTAAAATTTTGGATAACTCACTAATATTAATGACAGAGGTTTAATTAAAAAAGTACTACAGTTTAGGATATAGATATATGTATTCCTCAATAAAGAGTCCCTGTCTTGTAAACATGAATGCGTTAATGAAAATCGTTAATATTGCAAACTTTCAGGCATGCACAAAATATTATGAACTTGACACCTCTAGAAACTGATTAAAAGAATGAAATAAGACATTTTCTACATCAACTAACTCTGATGGCCCCGTGAAATGTCCACAGAATGAGTGACATTAGTCTGGGAAAGAAAAATCAATAGGAGGGTAATATACAAGTATAAATGTGATGGAAGGTTGGCTACATAAATTATGAAGGCAAAAAAACAAGTGTTTTACACAGTCATGCCTACAGAAAGAGAGTTGGGAAGCAATTTTCAAATTATCTTCAAATATGACACTAGAGAAAAAGCAAAAATGACACAATACAGGAACTAGAATACAGTGGTAAAAAGTGCTAGTATAAGAAGAGGTAGGATCCATGCATTGGTCTTTTTAGATCATCTTTCTGCCTTGGGGATGCAACTGCCTGTGATCCCCTTGACCACGGGAGTTTAAGAGGAGGGTCCCCTCAGGCTCACATTCACAGTTATCCAGCACAACTGGTTTTGTTTTCGGTTTCTGAGGCAATGAATTCAGAGTGGTTTTGCAGAAAGAACCACATCAAATGGTTAGGTCTCTGGAGTTCAGCTCCCTCTCGGCAGGAAAATCAAACTTAAAAGCTTAAGAAGGAGCAGAACCAGCATTTAGAAGTGGTTTCAACACTTTCATTTTCTCTTGCAACTTTAAAATTTTAATCCCTATGGGCCATTTGGAGATCTATCCTCATATAATCCCTGGAGGGGAGAGGTTTTGAATGTATCTATTTTTAATAAACGTTTGTATTTTTTTTTTTTTATTAAACAGAACTCCCCGTATTTTCCATAGAAGATTTGATTTCCACAGAATATTTGAAAACTTGAAGACAATCACTCATAATCCCACTACTTAGACAATTTACTATTAGCATTTTACACACAGTATCTAAATGTCAACATTTGAATGTTAAAATGTATTTTTTATCACTGATTTTTCCCTGATACATAACCCTTCTAGAACTACACAGACTCTTAGCAACACAGTATCAACAATTAAATGTTGTCCCACGGCCGGGCGCGGTGGCTCACGCCTGTAATCCCAGCACTTCGGGAGGCCAAGCGTAGTGGCGGGCGCCTGTAGTCCCAGCTACTCCGGAGGCTGAGGCAGGAGAATGGCGTGAACCAGGAAGGCAGAGCTTGCAGCGAGCAGAGATCACGCCACTGCACTCCAGCCTGGGCGACAGTGCGAGACTCCGTCAAAAAAAAAAAAAAAAGTGTCCCACTTCTCTCTTGTATGGAAATTCTCCCGTTCACTGAGGAGGGTTTCACAGACTTATTTATATTATAGTAGAAGTTTTCAATTAAACTATTCATGTTATTATGAAATATTTTCTGGAAAAGCCTGTTGAAAAGGGAAACCTAAGTTTATTGGCACTACTTGTGGATTTCTATGTAAATAGTCAGTGGAATTAGTGAATTATAATTGTATTCATGTGGAAAGCATTACAGCAAATACAGCAGTGAGTTTCAGACTGGCTTTCACAGTGGGTAGGTAGTAGTATGGCAGAGAGAAGGATTAATGTTTAACTCAAGTCCCTCTGCCACCTGGTTTTTCAAAGCATTCTGTTTTTCATGGTGTTTATATACCAAAGATGCAACAAGATACTGTTTCTAAGGTGTTATGCAACTATCAAATTTAAAAAGTCTGTGGCCTAAATCTCTACAAGAATTGTCAACATTCAGAAAAAAGAATTCAGACTTTAAAAGAATTCAGACTTTAAAACCACCTAAGTTGCAAGAATGCAATTGTTAAGTATTAAGCAGAACTTAAACATCAGAAGAAACAAAAAGAAAGGGAGGAGGGAAAAGGAAAGGAAAGAAAACAAATACACTACTTTATCATAATGTTCTTCTCATAGGTAGAAGAAAACCAGCAAAGCGATCTACCCCTTTATTGAGGAAATGTGTCAGACAACATCCTGACTGCTTAATAGAGTTTTTTCCTTGATAGAGTTTTTTTCCTTGAATATATTAATGATGTATATTAGAGCTATGTGTTTCTAGAGATTAACTTGGAGCCTGCAAACCTTAATATTTCTGTGTTAAGGTGTATTTTTGCAAGAATGAGAATTATGAAAAGATGCCAAATATATGATTAACTATTAATTCATTTTACAGAATCCAAGTGCAGATTATTTTCTTATTCTGTACTTAATGGATCTCAGATCCAAAAATAAATCTTTAGGAAATTGGCACTGCATAATTAATTTCATCACTTTTTACCATAGGTACAGAAACTCTTCAAACTGTAGCAACTTAACTATATATTAATGTAAGAAATAAAAAAGAGTGAACATTGGGCTGCTGTGGGCAAATTTACTATTATGTCTTTGTTAACTATTTAACATATATTGTTTAGCCTTTTAAAATATAGACTCCATACTACAAAACAGTATCATCTTATCTAAAAAAAAAAAAAAATCAAAGAAAATCCACACAGTTTTAAAATGCACATGAAAACCAGCACAGAACTTGAGAAATACTAGATACTCATCAAACATCTGCTGAATAAATAAGTCATAGAAATCCACCACATTTCTTCACCAAAATATTAATATTCTATTAATATAATAAACTTTTGAAGTTTTTTCTTTTCTGAAGTCTAAATCAAAGAAAACATGGCTACCTACTCCCTAAATTAACAGTGTATTGACTTGGCCAACCAATGAAACCGTGTTGATTAGAGCTAGGCATCAAGTAACAGTGCTTACTTGTCTGAAACGAAAACTGTCAGCAAGGCTTGTAAAGTTTTTCTCAAACACCCTGCTTTTAATGTTCATTACACAAATAAATAATTGAATACCTACATAATTACTCGACTTTGCTTCTGTTTCAGCTTGGAAATTTAGTAACACTTATCTTCGGGATTGCCAGTCTGCTTTTACAACCAGCTGATCAATCCAGCTTAGTGCAATGTTTAAATAATGATGAATAATTAGAAAATGAAAACCAGAAACACTATACACTAGATATAATATCATTCACATTTTCACTTATGAATTGTGAAATATGTCAGCAAGATAATTAAAATACCAGTTGGTTCTTATTCCTCTTTTAATAGACTCTCCATTGTTACTAAAACGTTAGAAATAAAAAATATTTCTTCTTTAAGAATAAATGAAAATAATTAAAAAATACTTCTATAAATGTACTAATTAAGTTTATTGAATAAATTAGTAAACAGCTGTGTCTGTATTAAAACACAGATGAAAAAAATTGGAATCAATGCTCTTCACATGTGCCTTTGTAATACAGTAATGACTGCAGCCACTTTCCTTATATCCCAGTTATTTAGTTAATGTCCCCATTTTTCATCTTTGCTAAGTTTCAGTAACTCACATTAACGAATCCTTATTGCAACTAGGATGTGTAAGATAACAGTGCTGGCTGCTCCAGCATTAAGGATGAACAAGGGACATGTGTATCCTGTTCTAATGGAATTTATAGTTTGTTAGGAGAAGAAAGATAAAATAAATATTTTCACAAAAGTTGTTGAATTCCTCCCTGAGAAAAAAAGCCATAAATGAAGACTGTAGCACCCTATGAGATGCTGTTTACACACACTCCTCAGCACTCCTAAATCCCTAGAGTTTCTATCTAGAGTAGGTAATTATTACGTTGCTCTTCTAAAATAAGTCTTAGTCCTTGAAGGCGGCCACTTTTTTTCTAATATTGTTCCCTAGCTTGTTTGAATCTGTGTTACTCAAGTAGTGAGAAACTGAGTTCTTTAGGAAATGTTATCATAAGACTCTAAAGGACTAAAAAATTTACTGTTGTAAAGTATGGTTTTGTTGCCTTAAAGATTTTCAACTTTATTTTTTGTTTCCATCTGAGTACGTATACACTCATCCAGTGTGAAGGGCTAAACACCAATCCTTATGAATAAAAAGGTTTTTTAACTTAATATTTTTATTTTGCTTCCCAAGACAGCAACTGTGTCTCTCAGGTTGATACTTTGATCCAACTTTAAAAGTGACTTTTAATATGTGATTAGTTTTTATCAGCAGTATTTGCATATTTCCTTTTCCTATACAATAATAAGTTCATTTCAGAATGTAATTTACCTATCATAAATTATTAAACCATAATCACCAAATCTTATGTAATGAATTAAGAACATCCACTGAGCAGTTTTGTATGAGGGATCTAGATTTTAATATTTTGAATTTAATCAACGGTGGTAATAATTATCCTGGGAAGAATTCCCTATAATGTTGGAATTTTCTGGATGGTGAGAGCTTTTACAAATAACTGCCTCCTAGAACCATTACACTGTCAGGAAGTAGTTTATTCCATTGGAAATATTAGACTGAGGAACCCCATCAAAGTCCAATTAAGTTCTGCCTTTTTCTGATTAGCTTCCATTTGCTTCCATAGTCCCCTGTATGTAATACTCTGTGGTCATTTATAGCTTTCTCAGCTCCCTATTTGCCCTGTCTTTATTCCTATATATGCCATATATTTCATTATATATGTCAGATTTTCCAGCATTCCTGTTTCTGTTGTTGTTTTTATTGTGTTTTGTTTCATTTTTACAGATGGGGTCTTACTGTGTTTTCCAGGCTGGAGTACAGCAGCATAATCATAGCTCACTGCAGCCTCGACCTTCTGGGCTCAAGCAATCCTCTGGTCTCAGCCTCCTGACTAACTTGGACTACACATGTGCACCACCATGCTCGACTACTTTTTATGTTGCCAGGTCTTGAACTTCTGATCGCAACTGATCCTCCTACCTTGGCCTCCCAAAGTGCTGGGATTACAGGTGTGAGCCACCACACCCGACCTCAGCATCCCTATTTTTATTAGTTCCTCTCACTTACTCTATAACTGCCTTTGCCTTTTCTTTTCTACATTCTTGCTATCTATTAATTTTTGTATTTATTTTAAGTATATTGGGGGAAACATTGTCTAGCTGTCTATTTTAGTTCTTCATATATTAAAGCTGATCAACAGTGATGAAATTTATGCCACATGTATAAGAGGAAGCACTTACCTGAGATCTTGGGATGGCTCTGCTCTGATGTGCGGCGTCTCCACAGAGTGCCCAAATACGGCTCCTTCAGTGCCTGAGGGTAGCATGAATATAGCAGTCAGTATAAGCAAGTCCACACAGTGACTTTCATCTCTATTTTTATGCATCAAATATTCTTCCCAAAGAGAGAAAACTTAAAATAGGTATATATCATGTATTAGTCCATTTTCACACTGCTGATAAAGACATACCCGAGACTGAGGAGAAAAAGAGGTTTCATTGGACTTGCAGTTCCACATGACTGGGGAGGCCTCAGAATCATTGCGGGAGGCAACAGGCACTTCATATATGGCAGTGGCAAGAGAAAAATGAGGAAGATGCAAAAGCAGAAACCCCTGATAAAACCATCAGATCTTATGAGACTTATTCACTACCATGGGAATGAGAACATTATGGGGGAAACCACCCCCATGATTCAATTATCTCCCACCGGGTCCCTCCCACAACACGTGGGCATTATAGGAGTACAATTCTCAATGAGATTTGAGAGGGGACACAGAGCCAAACCATATCACAGGATATGAATGAGAAGAATTAGAAGAATATCACCAGGCAGGGAAGAGTCAATCAAGGTAAATGTAAATGTCATTATATATTAAATGATTTTAAAATTAAGTTATTAAAGTCAAGATTCCCACTCTCTCATTAAAGAACAAAAGCTCATCTCTGTCCCCTGCCTTATTTTCCAGTTAAGGGAAATTGAGGGAGGGATACGTCACAATACTTAATTCTGTGTTTCTATAAATAATAGCAGGTCATGAATAAAAATGTGGAGGTGGGCTCCAGTGTAGCCTACTATTGGTTTTTACAGACAAACCCTGATAGATGTTTAGCAGTTCTCACACACAGAGCTCCCACTTTCGATTACAGTAACCACCAAATGAGAGAGAACATGTCATGTTACTTTGACCTCTCTGGGGTTAGGGCTTTATCTAAAACCATGAACTGCTTTAAATCATGTTGTTATAGGTGGTTTCATATGGCATCATAGTTTTCCAAAGAGGTCATATACTCTAACACTTTTCTCAGGAGGTTGAATGATAATCTATCTCAACTTTCATTTACTGAATCCACTTTTTTTTTTTTCCAGATTCCCATAGCTTTTTCATAATTTAAGTAAAATGGAAGGATTCTTCAATTACCAAAACCAAGTGGAAAAAAAAATGCTCCAAATAAGATGACACTGAGAAAATCTTTTCTGTAATTTTGCATAAATGTCTTTGATTATCACCCTCAAAATAAACTTTATCATTTTGTTTTTTGGTCTAATCTTCAAACTTCTTAGTTTAAGAACCTCATATCTGTTCCATCAGTGGCTTCAACACTAGCTAAATTATACAATATAACATAAAAATATATATTTGAAGCATACAAATCTGCTTTTGTCTAATGAGAAAAAATAATGTAAAACATATTAATTCAAGAAGTAATGATGAAATTGCCACTGGGAAATTAAAGCTAAAATTCCAATTCCTTAAAAATAAATTGCTATATATGGAAATGTATTAGAACCATCAGATGACTCCTTTGCATAATATAGCAATACAGACCTTGATCATGAATAGAAGAGGAAGAGATGTTTTTTTCAAAGACTGTATGATTTCATCTATATTCTGGTTCTGAGGGCAAACTTACCAGGTTCTGCTGCAGTAAATCCCTAAGATTGCAGATTTCTGTTTATAAACTAAAAGCTATTGGCATTTGTTGAACACTTAATGGGTTTAATAGTGTTCTCTCTTGTCTGTCTCTGTCTCTCCTGAGACTCTGTAGGACATATGCTCCTTGTTTTTAACACTTTTCCTCATGAATTTTGAGAAATTACTTCTTTAAGGGGTTTATTCTATTGATATTTTGGAAGATATTTATTTTATTTCTCCAAGTGGAACGTTCCTTAAGATGAGTCTTTCAAAGTAAAACAGTAGTTGGAGGTAACAGTAGTTTTGTGATCATGGTGGAGATAGCATGTGAAAGAATATTACAAGATATACATTTGTATATCTCAAAGAGAGACTCTGGCATTTTGTAATAAGATATGCATCCCAGGAAAGATAGTTATCCATGTGCAAAGTTTAAAAATTAATTTCCACTATTGCATGATTATGAAAATTTCCCAGATAAGGTGACAGAAATATAATTAGACATCAGTAATATTTACTTTCAAATACATAATGACATACTTAGTAACTAAGCACAAACTTTATCAGTGAAAATAAAAATAGAATGTCATCAAAAGTTTAAATTTTCAATGAGAAATAAAAACTGACAGACATCTCGATTCTGAGTTCCAGTACAAAAATAATCATTTTCAAAGGATTCTTGAGGAAATAAATATGTAATCATGCCACTTAAAGGGTGAAATTGTAAACTAAATAATACGAGTAGTTAACAAAATGCAGGCCTCTAGAAAATGAGAAATTCACTCTCCCTGTTTCTGTCCTGAATGAGCCAAAGGTATGAAATTAATAAGCAACACAGATAATCTTAAAGGAAATCAGTAAGGGATGATAAAAGCCACCTGAACCAAATATGAACTCTAACAGCATAAAAATAAAAAATCAGAACATGCACAGTGGCTCATGCCTGTAATCCCAACACTTTAGGAGGATGAAGCAGGCAAATCACCTGAGGCCAGGAGTTCCAGATCAGCCTGGCCAACATGGCGAAATCCCCCCTCTACTAAAAATACAAAAATTAGCTGGGTGTGGTGGTGGACAGTAGTCCCAGCCGCTTGGGAGGCTGAGACAGAGAATAGGTTGAACCTGGGAGGCATAGGTTGCAGTGAGCTGAGACTGCACCACTGCATTCTGGCCTGGGCAATAGAGGGAGACTGTCTTTAAAAAAAAAAACTTTAAAAAATTAAAAACTCTATCTCCCATGAATTGAAAATTTTTACCATGTGGATTATTAATAGGGTTGCAAGATTTGGCAATATAACAATATATGACACTGAGTTAATTGGAATTTCAGATACACATCAAATCATTTTTTAGTGTAAGTAAAGGATATTTACAGGGGATATACTTATACTGAAAGCATGTCATGAGTAATTAAGTAAATTCAAAATTAGTAAGGCATCCTATACTTGACCTGGAAACCCTTAACAATTTATCAACATTCATTTGATACACAAGGACAGATCTGATTTACAGTCACTTCAAGAAAAGAAAGACTGTCATGAATTCTCATCACAGGCTCTAGAAACCATAGAAACAAAAAAAGAATGACAGACATAAAAAGGACAAAAGGAACATAACAGAGATACATATTAATATGCATATGTAAACTTATTGAATAAATTTTTTTTTTCATTGCTATCATAAGGGGCTGTTCAAAAGGGCATAATGTTCAATAGTGCTTGATTATATAATCCTATAAAGGATGTTTCAGATAATTTAAACTGACTACAATGTTACAAGACATAGGGGAAACCTATACTGTTGGCTATTGCAATTGTCAGAAAAAAAGGAGGTAAGAAAATTCAGGGTCCAAAAGTAGTAGAAGCCATTCATATGATAATTTCTGGCTTCTGCAGGAAAGAATAAGGATGGCATATTCTGTTTTGCTAGAAAGGAGAAAGGGCAGATATGGATTATGGTCCTACTTTGTATTTAAAGAGTTTAAGTCATAAGGTAGGATACTACCCTTTACAAATGCCTAACATAAAATGCCACACCCTCAAAAACAAATTATTAAAATTAAATGCAAGCACTTCGTCTGATGTGGCTATCTATATTCTAAACGTTATCTATACTATAAATGTTATATCCTACGCTACTCATTATTCATCCGTTGGCATAGATATAATTTTTACAGCAGTCATTGGTCCCAGAAGAAGAGGTAGCACAAGAAAAGGAAACCCAAGGAGAAGCACCAGAGAGAACGCAACCAACCAACCAAGAAAGGCAAGAATTCCTCACATTGAGAAAAAGAAAGTCAGGCAGGAAATTATATTTTTAAGTTATTTGACCTGATATTTGCCAAATCAGAACTTTTACTGGCCTTTATTTTTCCAATGAAATCAACTATGATCATGAATTTTCTGACTTTTTTTTGTGGGGGGGGAGGGGATGCAAAGAAGGGAATGGATTTTATGTAGATATCAACATGATGTGAAAGAGAAACTACAAGAGGAATCCAGAGTCCACGGGGCAAAGATTAACAGGACGTGAACAGCGAGCCTCCCAGCCCTATGGCACTTCACAGGAATCTCAGACAGCATTTCAAATTCTTCCACTAGAATAGGGATAAGGTCCAGAGATATTTTTCTGTATCTCAAGGGACAGAAAGATTCCTATTTATTTATGATCTTCAATTTTGAATCTGTATTAGTAAATATATTCAAACTTTTGGAAGTCGTCCTACCTTACTTTCTTTTTCTTTATTTGCATGTATTTCCCCAATCTAAATTAGTATTAAAATCTAGATTAAACTGGGAATAGACTTTTTTTATTCCCAGGTTTACTTTAATTTGTTTCTAAATCTTGGCCAAGTATTCAAAGCCCTCTGGTTTTTTTATTTGTAAAATTAAAAACCAGACCATGAATAACATGATCTCTAAAGTACTTTCAATTTCTAACAGAATTATACTATTTTTTTTTCAAACATGTCAAAACTTGTATACTAATAACTCTTGTCATTCCTCCTTAAATACAAGTGGAAATGACTTTGCTCCTCCAAATCAAAAGAAAATAAATTATTTTGGGGAAAGGATGGAGTAATAATACTGGAAAAAATATTAATTGGCATTTCTTTTATTCCATTAAAAAGGGTTCCTTTGAATCCTGAAAAATTTATTAGAAAAAATGTCAACCTATTTCAACATATACTATGTCTCTTATTTGTGTTATTTTAATAATCTAAGTGTTGTCTTTGTCTCCACTTAACACGACAAAATACAACCTATACATTGCTGGAGTAATTTTATCAAAACCATTGATAGCTCACCTGTGCAAAAAGCTGTAATTATTTTCTTGGACACTGCTTTTGCCCAGTATTCAGCATTCCTGTAATCTGACCCCAATTGTCTGCTCAAAC